GTTTTTCAGTTTACATTTATGAACTAAAATACCTATTTTTATTTGTATAATTTATTAAATTAGTCACCAAAATCTTTTTTTTTTCTCTTTTACAAAGTGACCCAGTAACCCCAATAATGAGATCGACCGACCCAGTAAAGCAGCTTTTACTCTGGAGCTTTGATAGTTTTACAAATTTTTTGAACCAACTCTCAATAATTAATCATATCCAGTTGCAGTGATAAATAAATACATTTTTTAGTTCATGCATGATTGCAGGAGTAGTGTTCACCCCACTGACCTCCAGCTCTCCAGTTCAGCTGTGACCTTGTCCCCAGTTCCTGAGTCCTGCAGCTCCTTGAACCAGCAGAGGGCGCTGTAAGTCCGTCCAATCACCCTRCTCACACTGCAAAACTGCAGCACCACTCCGACTCCTTTAATTACTTCCTTCCTGCACTTAATTGGTGTCAATCTGTTTAACTCTGAGAGGGGGAGCTTCATTACGCGGACAGAGAAGAAATATACCACAGAGTGTTTGTGTATGACCATAAAGCTACAAACTGCAGGTATGTGGTTTCAGCCTGCTCGGAGCTGCAGACAGACCAAGATAAGCGACTGCACCTGTGAACTCTGCATTAAATGTTAGCTATTATGGCTGCGCGCGTGCAGGAATATGCAAATAATAATAATACTTTTTGCCTCTGTGTGTGGTACATGTCACTTGTGGCTTAAATGGGTTGAGGCTTGAATATGCTGCATACGCACAACGMTGTTTGCATTTTTTTAATCGGTGTAGTAGTAGAATTAGTACACCTATCACTCACTACCACCTTACTATAACCCCTCCCACTTACTCCGAGTAAAGTAGACCCCGGAGTAATCCGAAAAAAAAATGACGAAAAATGCACCAGAATAGGCGCGCATAACCCATTTACCGTATTTGGTTTGCGTATAAACGTTATATTAAGAAGTCAAAAGGACGCAGTTGTTAATAAACGTGAGATGTAATTTCGGTTTGTGTCGTATCTTCAACGCCAGCGCCTGTTACGCGGGAAAAGTCTTCGGCGGAAGAGTGCGGAGGGAGACGAGAAGTGGAAAGAGGGGCGGTGGTGATGCGTCTGGTTGGAGAGCTTATACTGTCAGTGTGACGGCGCCGGTGATAGACTGCAGTCTGTCCTCACAGAGGTGCTGCTGCCGCCGCTTCGCAGACCGCGCACACATGCTTCACTCAGCGTGACAGGAGCCGAACGACGCCTCCGTGGAAGGATTTAATGTCACCACCGCAGTGGACTAACTTTGCTGCTTCCTTCGTTTTTGCGCATTTCCCCCCCGTTCGCTTGTAGTTTTAGAGAGAAAACGAAGCTTCTGGAAGGTAAGCTAGGGGTGCAGCTTTAACGTGTTGGTTTTGTTTGCTGAGCCGTAAAGGCGGGTTTTCCCCTCTTTTTTTTTTTTTTTTTAATTTGACCGTTCCCAGTTTGTGTGAGCACCTGCTGCAGCTGTATCTGTGCATGCATGCACAGCGTGCACACTCAGGGTCGGTGTTCTGGACTGGCATGTGATCCTTGCTTACACTTTTTGCAGGATCCGTGCCAAGCAGCTGTCTGCGTTGAATCCCACTACGAGACTCTAATCAGTATTTTTTATTTTTATTTTTTAAAACCAGCTTTATAACACGGAGACAACTCCAGGAGACACCATGACGCTGAATTCGGGTTTGGCGAGTAAAAACTATGACTACGACTACGACTCCCTGCAGCCGTATTTCTACTACGACAACGAGGAGGATGACTTCTACCCGCAGCAGCTCCAGCCTCCGGCGCCGAGCGAAGACATCTGGAAGAAATTCGAGCTGCTGCCGACCCCTCCCCTCTCCCCGAGCCGCCGGCCGTCCCTGTCCAGTCTCTTCCCCTCCACCGCCGACCAGCTGGAGATGGTCACCGAGTTCCTGGGCGATGACGTGGTCAACCAGAGCGTCGTCTGCGACGCGGACCAGTCCGCCAAGTCCATCGTGCTGCAGGACTGCATGTGGAGCGGCTTCTCCGCCGCGGCCAAGCTGAAGAAGGTGGTGTCCGAGCGGCTGGCCTCCCTGCACGCCGCCCGGAAGGAGGAGACCACGGCGGCCGTGGCGGCGGCCGCGGCGGTGGCCGGGGAGGGGGTCTGTCTGGACCCCGCGGGGAGGCTCAACAGCAGCTACCTGCAGGACCTGAACACGTCGGCGTCCGAGTGCATCGACCCGTCTGTGGTGTTCCCCTACCCGGTGGCGGAGACGCCCAAGCAGAGCTCGGCGCCGCTGCAGAGGGACGTGGGTCTGGACACGCCGCCCACCAGCGGCAGCAGTTGTAGTGACTCAGGTAAGCTGAATGAGCACTCCTCACTCAGACACACCCCTCTAGGAGCAGGCGCGTGACTTGGGAGTAAATGAGGGTCAGTCTTGTGGTTTGCAGTCTTGATTGATTTTTTTTCTTCTTTTTGTTGGCATTTATGTTGCAGAAGATGATGAGGAGGAGGAGGAGGAGGAGGAAGAAGATGATGAAGAGGACGATGAGGAGGAGATTGATGTAGTCACGGTGGAGAAAAGGCAGGCGGTGAAACGCTATGAGCCCAGCCCACTGGAGACCAGGCACCCCAGTCCTCTGGTCCTGAAGAGGTGCCACGTCTCCACCCACCAGCATAACTACGCAGCCCATCCATCCATGAGGCACGAGCAGCCRGCTGTCAAGAGGCTGAAGCTGGAGAGCAGCAGTGGGGGAGGTGGTGGTGTCGGAGGAGGAGGAGGCTGCAACACCAGCAGGGTCCTCAAACAGATCAGCAGCAACCGCAAGTGTTCGAGCCCCCGGACGTCCGACACGGAGGACTACGACAAGAGAAGGACTCACAACGTGCTGGAGCGCCAGAGGAGGAACGAGCTGAAGCTGAGCTTCTTCGCCCTGCGCGACGAGATCCCCGAGGTGGCCAACAACGAGAAGGCGGCCAAAGTGGTGATCCTGAAGAAGGCAGCCGAGTGCATCTGCAGCATGCAGTCCGACGAACAGAGACTGGTGTCGCTCAAGGAGCAGCTGAGGAGGAGAAGTGAACTGTTGAAGCAGAGACTGGCACAGCTGCAGGGCTGTCGTGCTTAAGATTCAAAACTTCTTTGTTTGTTTGTTTTTTATGCAAGTTCCAGATGTACAGTTGTTGCATGCAAAATGTTAAAAGAAATGTTTGGAATTTTTTTTGTTCCCCATTTTTTTGAAACTGCCTCAGCTGAAGTTACAGGTGGATTAAAATATTTAAAAGTTTATTTTTAATAATAAAATATTAAAAATGAAGCTGTCCTGTTGGTGGGGCGGCTCTAACGAAAATATAAATTTTTATGTTTTGTATATAGTTAATATTTCCTAAGAAAATGTATTTTTTGATCTCAATTGTCTGGTTTGTTCAGACCCACTGTTTGATTTCATTTTTGTTTTGCATTGTTTCTGGATTTTTTTTTTTAATATAAAACTTTTTTCTTGACTTTGTGTCCTTGTTCTTGGAAAAACAATCAAATTCTTTACATCAGGTGCGAAAGTGATTGGAGTGCTTTAAATTACAAATGAACGGAGTTCTGATGTGAGAGGACAAACATGAAAAACACATTGAAGCTTTTGAGATTAAAGCATTTTTAATTTTTACATTTAGTAAATTCTATTGTTTCCTGCAAAAAATGGAAGATTTAGTCATTTAATGTCAAATATGCTCCAAATGTCTCATATTTTTCATTGCTTTTAGAGCTTTTAATGAAAAAGTTCAAGGTGGAAATTTATTCAAAATTTAGTCAAAACAAAAAAAATATATATAAAAAAAACCCTCAAAGTTGCTTCTGGAATCTATCCACAGGTAATTTTATTTTTGTAATAAACCGAAGAAAATGATTGAAAATAAACAATCTCAACATCTGAGCTGGCATCCACGTGGATGTAAGAGGTTTCTATTTTTATTTCTTTAATTAGACGCACCTGGAAATAAATCCCATCTGGTTCAGCGTTCACTGCAGCCAGCACGTGACGTCACGCGCTGTATCCCNTAACACCCTAGAACAAAAACTGGAATGCTTTCAAACAATATTTTATGTGTACTTTAGGTGGTTTGTAAGGAAGTCCCAGCAAATTGATTTATTGACAGCACAAAGAAAGTTGAGAACATGCTTCAGTTCACTATCTACCAGCATTAAAGACACGAGTCTTGTGTGATTTTTTTTTTTTTGTTGTTATTCTGAAAGTCTTTTTGCAAACGGCTGCTCCTCAATAGAGAAGCCTAACCTTGAAGGAGGCTTTTCTGTGTGTTGAAGCCATTCAGCTGTTCCTCCACACTTTGGGATGGAGACCCTGTGGATAAAAAAATAAAATGAAATAAAAAACAGGACAAC